AGATTTTTACAGAGAGGGTAGACAGGTCTTGCATCCACTGATTCACTCCCCAAATGGCTACAGTGGCTGATGATCTGAGCCAGTCCAAAGCCAGAGGAGCCTCCTCTAAACTCCCCACACAGGGACAGGGGCCCGAGCATAGGAGCCATCCTTTGCCATATTCAACAGGAAAGTGGGGCACCAGGGACAGGAACTGGCTCACATGTGGGATGCCAGCGCTGCGGCTGAGCCTGCCATGACACTGTGCCACTCCATTTTTGTGTGTTTAATGTAGAAGAGGAATTCTATTTCCAAAAAGCCATGATGGTTTTCCTAGGCTGAGTATTGTCAATTTCTGAGGCCGAAGCGCCACGTCTTCCTGCGCCCGCTGACCTGGAGGAGAAGGCTTGTATGCTGGAAAAAGGGGACACCAGCTGTTCTTCAGACTTTTTTGTGTATAAAAACTCCTGGTACATAAAATTTTCAAATTTTTTGCACCAATAGAAGGTTATATATTTTCCATTTTGGGAGAATATAAATGAAGTAAGTATTATAAAGTGAGTTGTTAAAAGGTAGATGTCATGAAGAAAAGAGTTGGGGAAAGTCTGTGTGTGTCAGAGTTAGCCTTACCATTGATAGAATAAAAATAATGAGAGAAATTGTGGAAACGTGTGACATAACGAATGTCTTTCCTCTTGTAGCTGGAACAGTCAGATGATTTCAGTTCGTGAAGCCAAAGCCATTCCGAGGCCTGACGGCATTGAGTGGAGAAACAAGTACATCTGTGTGGAAGGTAGAGCCTCCCTCCGGGCAGCCCCCAGCAGCCCCGGGTGTGGGTTGTGCCTTTCGGTGTTACATTAAGTGAAGAATCATCTCAAATTCTTTGGTTGTAAGAAACAGGCATGAGTTCAGGGAGTTGATATCCCTAATCGGAAGAGGTCCCACTTGTGACCCAGCATTCTGAGTCTCCCACGTGGAGAAGCTGGGTTTCTGCATTTCTCATACTTGTCATTGATTGAAACCTAAACTGGTGGTTTACAGGTGGAAGGGATGATCATCTTTACGGGATGATTTATATTCAGAAAATATAATTTTATATTCTGTGAAAAATACTAGCTTCATACAGACAATACTTGGGTTTTAAAAATTAAATGAACTGAACTTTTCTCTAACTTAGCAGATTTTTGAGACATTTTCTACCTTCTGAAATCAGTGGGTATTGACTTTGAGAGGCACAGTTGTTCTTGTCAAAGGAAGGGTTGAGAATCAGCTTTGAAAGAAAACATTAGTTTTAGCCTGTTGGATTATGTGCAACATCTTAAGAGTTTGTGGCTATGAAGTGCAATGGTTTGGTATCTTGTTTGCTAATCCTGTAGTGCGTGTATATTTTAGTTGATATATTTTAAATATTAACAGGGTTATAGATTGCTGTATATGATACCATCAGGAACAGGGACTGGCAGTGTGGCACAGCAGGTTGAGTCCCCGCACTTGCAGCACCGGACCAGAACGTGTGTTCCAGGTCTAGCCAGCTTCCTGCTGGTGCTCCTGAAAAGGCCTTGGAAACTGGCCCAAGTACTTGCAAGTTCTCTCGCTGACTTCCTGTTCCCTTTCCAATTAAAAAAAAAAAAAGGAAAAAAATGCACTGTTGTGATAACAAAATTTTTTAAAAAAATAGCCATTTTAGACAATGAACACTAAAGGGGATTTTTCTTAATCTGTGTTCATTTTTAATGTGCTTCTGGCATTATTCCAGTCATTCTGTCACTGTTGCCTTCAGACAGACCCACACAGCCACCCACCCTGACGCGTCTCTTCACTGTCACCTCTGATTCCCGTGTCCCCTTGTTTCTTTGGTTTTCATCTTGCGAGTGCACAGTGAGCAGGAGTGTGTGTGGACATGGAGCCACGCCACGTGACACCACTCGCTGTGTTTACTTGTGGTGTTCCCTACTTCCTGTCGTCCTGTTCACCTCCAAACCAGGCACTGCCCCTGCAACTCCTCGCACTGTCCTTCCTGTTCTCTCCTATTGACGCTCTGCTTGGAGGGGTGACTTCTCCTGCCGTTTAAATGAAAATTAAAACTACCTGTCAGTGATACTTGACATTAGCTACCACTCTTTAATATAATAGTTTTAAAAGACTTAAATGTTTATCTTATTTATTTGAAGGAGTTACAGTGAGAGGGGAGACAGATGGAGAGAAACAAAGAAATATTCAGTTCTCAAGTGGCTGTAGCAGCTGTACTTGGGCCAAGCTCAAGTTAGGAGCCAGAAGCTTCATCCTTCTCCTGCGTGAGTGACGAGCCCAAGCTGGACCGTCTCCTGCTGCTTTCCCAAGTGTATTAGCAAGGAGCTGAAATTGGAACAGCTATTTGTGCCGGCATTGCAGGCAACAGCTTGATTTCGTTGTGCCAAATGCTAGCCCCTCTTTTTGATGACTTTCCATTCTTACAGTTAATTTTTATTTTCTTGACCTCCTATGATTCCTCAAATGTGATAGCTCCTTTTAGAATTTAGACAATCTGTCTGTGCCAGTGACTTTTAGTCGTCTTGTCACTTGAATTCGCTCCACCGTACTAAACAGTCCGTAGTCATGTTAAACTTTGCTGTATGTTATCAGGCTTAATCGTATGAGGTCACTCTTTCTGCAGGCTGAAGAAGTGCCACAAAATGGTAATTTCATAGCTATTTAACAATTTCTTCCCATTGCAGAACCTTTTGATGGAACAAATACAGCAAGAGCTGTGCATGAAAAGCAGAAGTTTGACATGATCAAGGATCAATTCTTAAAGGTATCAGTGTGTCACAGTGACTGCAGAAGTGGTAGGGCACTAGTGGGCAGCCATTGCTGATGCATAGAGGCATGTATTGCTTGAATAAGGGATGCTTTTCCTTTAGATTCCTGGCTGCTTTCCTTCAGATAGCTTTTGCTTACTTGGTAAGCTTACTTCTCCCACCAAAAAATGCGTAAAATCAAATGGACTCTTTGCCTCCATAAATTATTAGGGGATTTATTTCAGCTTTAGAAGCTGATGGCTAACTTCTGCCTTTCTTCCCTGTACCTTAAATTTACAAGGAATTAGAGGCCAGTTTATTTTTATATTCTGAAATGTTAAAACTGTGCATGTGTGCGTGTGTGCACAGTGCCATCGTAGCATACAGTCTCCACCTTCAGGCTCCGACAGTCCCGGGCAGAGCTAACGACAGGTGAGATGAGTCCCAGGAGAGAAGGCTCCGAGGACTGTGAAGACCACGTAGAGCTTTTCATTGTCTAGATGTACAGGGGGACGTGTCATTGATACCTAAAGGATAGGCTTCTCAGTTTGTCAACTAGAATAGAATATTTATGCTGTATAGTTTCTTTCATTTTAAGCCAAAACCTAAATAGGAATAATTTTTGTGTAACGTTAAATTAAGAACTCGGAGCATTCTGTGTTGTTGTTCTTACTGATAAGTAAACAGGTGTGCTTCATTGTACAGTCGTCCAGTCTGTTGAACAGCTTAAGTGGAAATGAAATGACAGCGATTCTCAGGACCAAGAAGAGAGCCAGGGTTTTAGTTTGTGAACAAAAATTTCAGTTTCTTCTATTTTTTTTTTTTTTGGTATAAATTCCATTCATTTTTTTCTAAAGCATAGCTAATGTGCTTTTATTATAAATTTCTTCCCTCCTTCATAAATGTTTTGAATTTGAAAAGTTAGTAAAAGATACAAAATGATCAATCAGGTAATTGAAGACTTCTCCCTTAGCCTTTGAAATCCAGATGTTTGTTTTATATGTGAATAAGTGTTAATATTGTGAGTTGCATCTGTTTGTACCTCCTGTGTGCCCATTTGTTCATTAGAGAATTGAATACAGCAATACAGTTTTACAATAGCATTTTTTCCTCTGGGGACAAAAACAATCCTTGTGCTAACCAAAAGCTTGGGAAATAACCAAAAAGAAGAAAAAGTCTGCCACAATTTTACGACCTGGAGGGGAACTGTTATAACTTTTTTTTTTCAAGTCTCCTGTTTTTTTCTGCATCTATTGGATTGTAAGAAACCTTTCTGTCTCTCTTCCAGTCATGGCACAGATTGAAAAACAAGAGAGACTTGAACAGCATCCTCCCCCTGAGACACACTGTCCTGAAGAGATGACCGGCCTTTTGTTGCTGTCACCACGGGCAGTGAAGAGCCGGGGTCCTTCCCGCGCCTCGTGGGCCTCCATGGCTCCTTTGTGCTTGTGCTTTTCATTCTCATGTTTTATTTTTTAAAGGACATACTTAAATAAAGATTGCATATTTTATTATGACATTTCCTAATAAAGCCCTTTGATTTAAAATCTATTTTTGAAAATGTTTACATTGATGCTGATTAATATTATGGCATGGATATTCAGAAGACCAGATAAAATATATTTTGGGAAATGACCTGAACAGATTACAATTTTTGATGTAACTTCAGTTTGTTGTATCACATGCTAGTACTGACAGGAAGTGTGGACCTTTGGAGAAGGTTCAGTTGGTAAGTGCTAAAGTATAACAACCTCCAGGAAGTAGCTTGTCTGAATCTGTTCTGGTAAAGTAAGGACTTGGTCTGTGAACTCAGTTACTTAAAGCAGAATGGAATCTTTTCTTCAAAGATCATGAAATCCTGGGCTTGACTTGCTAGCATGGGCTGAGGCTTCGGGCGTCCCGTATCGTTTTGTTAGTACTTCACACGCGCCGGATGTGCCCGCTCGCAAGGTGGCTTTCAGTTCAGTGCTGAGACAGCGGGTGCTGCAGCTCTGTGAGCACTCACGCCTGCGGCAGCCAGAGCAGCAGCTCCAGATAGACGTTTGACAAGATGAGTTCTCCCGTGCTTTGGGGCAGTGCAGTGTGCACTTCCGCTCCACTTCCCATTGTCCTCCTCCTGGTTCCCTTTTCCCTGCGACATGAACAACAAAATAAAGATCAAAGTGAAGGTTATATCCTATTTGTAGTCTCAGATTTTGTTTTCTGTGTACAATTATAGGATTGTAATCTAAACTGGAATTTTTAGGCAGTAAGCCACTACAAAATGTTTAGATGAAACATAACAAAATTGTTATCAATTGAGAACTTAATGTTTGTTATAAAATACCTTTTTTAGTATTACTTTTCCATAAGAAGGAAGTAGTGGTGACTGTTAAAAAAAAAAAAAGCTACAGTGTTTATTAAGGTGGTTTTTGATTTGTGTAAATATCTGTAAATTTAAATGTAAAAAGTAATCTTGAAGCCAGTTTTAACTTTTTTCAAAAGGACTGTGTACAACTTTTAGACCTACTGTAGCACACTTTGTACCTCTAATGTATTTTTTGAAGACCAAATGCTAAAATTTTGCTTTTCTCTTGACTTGTAAAAGGTGCATATTTTCATTTTCTTTTAAGTTTAAATTTTTGTATGATAAGTGGAATAAAGTTTATATATGGAAATTGTGGAAGTGTTTTTTTTTTCTGTGCACTTCTTTTGAGATGAGATGGGAAAGTGGTTATCTTGAAGTAAGCTTAATCCAGTTATTGTGTTTGATTCAATATTTAAATCTAAATAGTTTTCATTAAAAAGTCAAAATATTTAAATAATATTGTTTGATGATTTGCATAGTACTGAGAATCTTGGTCTCAAGTTCTCTTGTGGTTCAGCCACATGAGCATCCTCAATGCTTTATTTCTCTGGAGTAGTTAGGGAAGAATTTCTACAAAGGTGAAAAATTTTTTTAAGGCTGCTGATATATAGCAACTTTAATATATTTAAGCTTTTTATATTAATTATTTTTCTTAGAAATTTGTTTAAAATTTATGATGTGTTGTGCAACTTATCAGACTCTAGAGAAAGTAAATCTGGTGGTGACTGGGTAGTCAGTCTGTAAACGGTGCTGGGTCTGCCCGGTAACCCTGTGCGACTCTCGGGGGTGGTGAGAGTGGGGCATGGCCTCTACAGCAGAGCCCCTCCCGTGCTCCTGGTTTCCCAGTCTTGAGGGGGCTCACCTTTGTCACTGCTTTCTAAAAACTGTTAATGTAACAGATAGATCATGAGGTAAACAAGCTTAAACCCAGGTCTAAGTGGACTGAAGCCCAAAATTTTGCTTCTTATCACAGACTAAGTAAGTTGAGGGGTGGGCTGTTAGGTATAAGAGAATTTAAAAACCAGTTAGCATTATTATTTTCAGTCTTAAGTTATTTAATCGTGTGGTGAACACTGGATTTCCATTTCCTCTGTTGTGCTTTCTATATTATCCATGTGTTCCTAAGCCAAACATGTACATTCGTGAGAGGCCCCAACCCGTAAGGACTGCGGGCCTTGAGCTCCTGGCCCTGCTCCCCATCCAGGGTCCACTAAGGCGGATGCTCCGAAGCAGTGTTTGCTCGTCGCGCTGTTGCTGCCTCTGTGGGAGACCTAGGTTGAGGCTCAGCTTCTGGCTTTAGCGTCTTGGGCCCTCAGCAGTGTGGGGCATTTGGGAAGTGAACCAACAATTGAGGATTTCTGTCTCTGGCTTTCAAGTAAGTAAATAACGAAACGTATGGCATGCACTGAAATTCTGGATTTTGGATTGGTTTGCGTCAAGACACTCGCAAATCTTGTAGACTTAAGTTTTTAGGAGTTTGAATTAAATGCAAGGAATATAGAAGGGCTGCTATTGAATTCGGAGTATACATGCTTATTTGGGTTGTTAGTGTTGAACCAAAGCCATTCTCTTGAAGCAAGGAAGCATCTTTACCTCAGCTTGTGGACACAATCCAGTCTGGCCCTGTGATTTGTGCTAGGTATTTGGCTAGTTTGAGGTTTGTGGAGTTTGGGAATGAGTCTACCTTGAGGGGGGAAAAGAAACAAGGTACTGAGGCACCTGGTGATCCTGAAAGCTGACAGGAAGCAGGTGAATAAAAATGGAGGAACCTCAGGCGGGATGAGCGGCACGTGGGAAAGCGTGGTGGAGTCTGGGCCCTCAGACCTCTCAGTCAAGGAGCGGACAGGTGGGGCGGGCGCGGCCAGGGAGCAATGGGGGCACGTCGTGGGCTGAGGGGAGGAGGCGGAGGTTAAACGCTAGCTTCCCAGGGGCCAGGGGAACGTGGGAGCCTTTGGACCCGGGGTCAGAAGTCAGCCTCGGGCTGCTGTGAAGACCACTCCTCCAGGTGCGAGCGCTGCACTCGCGTCCCCTGAGGGAGAGGACGTCCGGCTGACTGGCGGATGGAAGCGGCCCTTGCGCGACGCGGGGGTGAGGCGGCGCACCCCGGGACCGCGGCAGTGCCTCAGTTTCTTTCCCGGCTGCGAGGGCGCGCGACGTTGCTCCCCGCCAGGGTGCTTGGGGACGAGCTCGGCCGGGCCAAACTTTGAGACAACTTCTATTTAAAGTCGCGTGCTCCCCGCCCCCCCTCACGCCAGGAACCCGAGCCGCCGGCCGGGCCGGGCCGGGCAGAGGGCACGGTAGGCGCGGCGCGGACGGCTCCGACTCCGGCTCCGGCCCCGGCCCGGCCCGGGAAGGCGCGATGGCGACCAGCGACAGCACCTATGCCGACTACGGCGTCCTCGGCTCCGACGGGGACGAGGAGGCGGCCCGCGAGCTGGCGAGCGAGGAGGAAGAGGAGCTGGAAGACGAGGAGGACGGGACGGCGGCGGAGTCGGACGAGGAGCCGGGCGCCAGGTAGCAGGCGCGGCCGGGGACGGAGGGGTGTCCGCTCGGCGAGCCCCGGGGAGTCCTTTGCGCGTGGGCGCCCGAGAAGGAGTAGTGCGGCCTCCCCTGCGCCCCGGGCACGCGCTCGCGGTCCCGCCCAAGGGCTCAGAGGGGCTGGGCGCTGGCGTCCGCCCTGGGGCAGCCCTGACGGAGCCTGCCCCTTATGCCCAAGGCCAAGGGGACTCTGGTGTGGCACAGAGCCCCTCGACTTTTTGCGTGGGGAGGATGCCTGAGTTTGCGTAACGCCCATTCTTGAATAGCTGTTTCGGTTTGGGGTCTAGTCATCAGTGGGAAGTCGGGCTCCTCTGGCAACCCCTGCCCTGCCCCTCGCCGCCGCCACCTCCGTGGAAACGCTGGAAGGAGCACACCAGGAAGCCTCGCTCCCTCCTGGGCGCTCTGCCCCTCTTCACCGGCCTGGGGTTGTTTTTGTTCCCTGGGTCTGTATCCATCCTGGATGTGTCCTCCTTGACCGCCCTATCTCAGGAGAAAAGGAGGGACTCGCGCCAGATAAAAATCGCTGCTCTCTGTGGGAACAGCTAGGGAGAAATCTGGCTGCTCCGTGCGTTCAGCAGTGTGAGGAAGGACCAAGCTTTACGGGGGAAGCCAGAAGAGAGTGAGTGGAAGTGGAACTGCCCTGATGGACTGAGGCCGCGGTGGCCACCGCGGATGGAAGGTGCATAGAGCAAAAGCAGAGAAGGCACCTGCAGGACCTGGCAGTGTGCAGGGGACGTGGGGTTCCTGGGCATCCTGAGAAGGGCACATGGGTCAGTCCCGGCCTTTGCAGCCTCCTCCCCAGGTGGAATTCGGAATCCTCTTATGCTCACTCTTATGCTCACTTTCTCACCTCCCTCCACCCCCCCCCCCCAAATTACTCACAAGAGAACTGCAATAACTCATTTACACTGAAACGTGAATGACTGACAGCTCAGAGTGTTGCAGCACATTCCCTCAGATCAAGCAGTCTGGCTGGGCGCTGTGGTGGACGTCAGGGAAGGAGGCCTGAGTGACAAGGGACAGAGGCAGGGAGGGGGTCAAAGAGAGCAGGGACCATGGAGTCTTGACTTGATGCTGATCAGGATTTGAAAACAGATTGTGTTGCTAACAAGCTGGTCTGTGACCTACCTTACAGAGAACTGTTACCCTCACCCTCCTGTGTCATGGTCTCTGTTGGTGCTGGGAAGGCAGCGGTAGAGAGAAGGAGCTGCTGAGGGCTCAGGCCACAGTGCAGGCAGTGGAGAGGAGCTGGCAGCTGGGTCTGACCAGGAGCAGGCTGGCTGGAAGGTGTCCCAGGGGAACTGGGAGTCCCAGAGCCCAGCATGCTGCCAGGGTGCGGACTTGCCGGTGGTGATGGGTAAGTCTCCTCAAGGCAGCTGCCCAGAGCCGCTTGGATTTTCATCAGGTCATTTTCAGGCCATACAAAATTAGCTGAAACATTAGCCTGCTGTAGATTCACTAAGTTCTGGAGTCAGCCTGAGCCCTCCCAAGTGATTTTAAAGTGAGCCGGAGCTCAGGTGCTGGCCAGCCATGCCCTGAAGCCTCAGGTGTGCAGTTCCTTGAGTGTCTGCTGAGCAGTGGGAGGGAGCAGGGCTCTCTTCCTGTCCCCCCACAGGTGGCTGCTCCCAGCACAGTGCTCAGTGCTTGCACGGGAGCTCGCGTTCCTACCCTACTCCCTCCCACCTCTAGCCACACGTGTGAGGAGGTGGTGGCATGGTGGATGAGGAGAGGCGCCCTTCTCTGAAAGAGCCCAAGCCTGCCCAACCTGGAACATTCACTACGTCCTTCTGCCTGGAGCAGAGACTCTTCCTTACTGTCTTGGGGACAGCAGAGTAGCTCAGCTTAGCTTCTGCTTGGAGAAGCTGTCAGAGAGAAAGGAAGGACCCCATCACTTTTGGTGACAATGGGGACATCACCTGAGTGTGAAATGTTCTCCAGCGGCTGCATCACGACATGCAACAGCCTGCACAACAGTCACGCAGGGCTTGGCCACACCACAGACGATACGGGAGTCAGGCTGAACGTGCTCAGTGTTTTTCACCATGTGGTTCAGTTGTCAACCAGGAAACACAAGAGGTCGTGAGGGAAAGTTAGTAAGCAGTAAGAAGTCACCCTTAAGATGCGCAAAGGTTCGTGGTGGCTGCTCTCGGTGATGGGGCCATGGCAGGTGAAATGCTTCACGTGTGTCTGAACTTTGCAATTTTTGTGTAAGGGGAACGTAGTATGTTTTGTGATCAGAAAAACAAACAACACCTTAATTGCCAAACATTCAAGACTGCCGGAGTCCAGCTCCAGCTGAGTTCGGAGCTCGGGAAGGGTGCGTGGAGTCGGCGATAAAGAAAGACACAGACACAGACGTTTGGTGCGTTCTCACAACAGCTCAGGAAAAAACTGTCCTTTTTATTTACTCAAAACCCTTCTCAAGCTTCTGCACAAACGTTTGATTTTTTATCTTTTACTTTAGAACTAAGACAGCATGCACAGATGTTCAATTAATTTTTACTTCATGGTCAACCAGGTGCTCTTAAAGATAATTCTGTAAGTTACTATAATCAGTTTCTTTAAAGCAAGCCGTTATTCATTCTTCAGAAGTGACCACTAGGTGATAGTCAGAACTCCAAGGCCAAGGCACAGATGGTTACCTACTAATTAGTAAAACATTCTTACTACATTTTATTTTCACAACTTTATCTATCACATAATGGGAGAAATACATCAAAAGAGAAAAAATATAAGGATCTAAGACAAAAAGTTTCAAACATTAAATCCCCC